AACTATACCGGTTTTCAAGACCGGAGCCATCAACCGCTCGGCCATCTCTCCGAAAGATAATTTCTATTTTATTTTTTTTTCGCCAAATAGAACATAGCCCTATGAGTTAATACGGTCACTATGTAGAGAAAGATATAGGGTGTGACTTTCTTTAATAGGTCTATAAATCTGGCTATATAAATAAATGAGATACGCGATCCAGTATACCCATTTGTGAAGTCAAAAAGAACCTTTAACTTCATGTCCGAATAGAATAAAAGTGGTAAAAATAAATTGGAACTAAGTCATCTCGAATCAACGGATTCATGATAAAATCCCTTTATCTATTAAAATTTTTTAGTGGGTAAGAGGATTAAATGGTGTATATTCTTTTGTTAATAGCTTGGAGGATTAAAAACATGACTATTGCTTTCCAATTGGCTGTTTTTGCATTAATTATTACTTCATCAATCTTACTGATTAGTGTACCCGTTGTATTTGCGTCTCCTGATGGTTGGTCGAGTAACAAAAATGTTGTTTTTTCTGGTACATCTTTATGGATTGGATTAGTCTTCTTGGTGGGTATCCTTAATTCTCTTATCTCTTGAATTCATTCGTTGCAGATCCAAAAATGAGATGACCCCCTCCCATTCCATGAATTACACATTCAAATTCAATATAAGTCCATAAAATGCAAATAAAGAAAAATTTAGAGGGGGGGTCGAACTTCTGGAACTTGAATTAAATATGAATAAAAGATTAATAAATAGTTACTAAATATGAAATAGTAATAAAAAAAAATAAATAAAAAACGAATAAAAAATTGAGATCTGATATCAATATAGAATATAATATTTTATGGAAATAGAAGAATCATATATTCTTGAACTTGAATATGGAATTCAATATTAAATATAAATATATAGAATAAATATAATATTAATATATAATATTAATATATATATTTATATATATTAATAGAATTGTTAATTGAATTTATTTGGTGGTAAAATTTTATGAAATGACCCCAAACCAAAGAGTGTATCTCGTCTAGCTTTGAATAAATATTATCCATAAATTTATTATCAAGAAGGGCAAAAAATGCGGATATAGTCGAATGGTAAAATTTCTCCTTGCCAAGGAGAAGACGCGGGTTCGATTCCCGCTATCCGCCCAAATATAAATGGATTCAAAAAGATAAAAGATTCGGTATAGTTGACCGGGAAATATAGTAATTTTTTCCTCGCGTCCCAAAAGACACATATTAATTAATGACTAGTTAGTAGAATCAAACTTACATTTCTTGAAAAAAAAAATGTTGCGGAGACAGGATTTGAACCCGTGACCTCAAGGTTATGAGCCTTGCGAGCTACCAAACTGCTCTACCCCGCGCTGAAACAAAAAAACTTGGACTAAACTCTAATAAACAAAGAAGAATTGAAGGAGCCCCTATTCCATATCTGTAAAAATAGAATAGCCTATTTAGACATAATGGTAAAGGGGCCTCATCGATCATATAAAAAAATAGAAAAATTAAGGGATACTTAAATCCTTACCAGCTTGATCTTGTTGCCCCTGGCAACAAACAAGCCTGAACCATTTCCCGAAGGATGTGTCCAGATAGTCCAAAGTCTCGATAGTTAGCTCTCGGTCTTCCGGTCGAAAAGCAACGTCGATGAAGATGTGTAGGTGCACTATTACGCGGTGGGGATTGTAATTTTCCATGAATTTTCCATTTCTCACTTAGCGACGAAATCTTACTTATTTCCTTTTTTGAGGATCGACGAATCAAATGATATTTTTTTTCCAATTTTTGCCTCTTCTTCTCCCTATAAATCAAAATTTTCTTTGCCATAATGCTTCAGTTCCTCTTATTATCAATGATAATGATACAAATCGGATCCTAGATGTAGAAATAAATATAAGAGTGCATACCTATATTTTTTTTATTAAAAAAAATATATGATTGCGGATAGAATACATAAATAATTAACCGAATTTGCCCGATGTGGAGGCAATCAAGAAAGCCGCATAAGTGAATATATAACCTACAGAAAAGTGAGCTAATCCAACCAATCTTGCTTGCACGATTGAAAGAGCTACTGGTTTATCTTTCTAGCGAATCAAATTTGCCAAAGGTGTGCGTTCATGAGCCCATGCTAAAGTTTCAATCAATTCCTGCCAATAACCACGCCAGGAAATTAAGAACATAAATCCTGTAGCCCAAACAAGATGCCCAAATAAGAACATCCATGCCCAGACTGATAAACTATTCATACCAAAAGGGTTATATCCATTGATAAGTTGTGAAGAGTTTAACCATAGATAATCTCTTAACCGTCCCATCAAATAAGTGGAAGATTCATTAAACTGTGAAACGTTACCCTGCCATAATGTGATGTGTTTCCAATGCCAATAAAAAGTAACCCATCCAATAGTATTTAACATCCAGAAAACTGCCAAATAAAATGCGTCCCAAGCCGAAATATCACAAGTACCACCTCGTCCCGGACCATCGCAAGGAAAACTATACCCGAAATCCTTTTTATCTGGCATTAACTTGGAACCACGTGCATCTAAAGCACCTTTTACTAAGATCAATGTAGTTGTATGTAAACCTAAAGCAATAGCATGATGAACCAAGCCTATTGTTAAGAATAATGAATTACTATTCTCATTAATAGCATTTAACCAGCCAGGCAACCATATGCTTCGACCCGCATTAAATGCTGGGCCACTTGTCGAAGATAAAAGTACATCAAATCCATATGAAGTTTTCCCATGAGCGGATTGTATCCATTGGGCAAATATGGGTTCGATCAAGATTTGTTTTTCGGGAGTACCAAAAGCAAGCATGACATCATTATGAACATAAAGTCCCAAAGTATGGAACCCTAGAAAGAGGCTGGCCCAACTTAAATGGGATATGATAGCTTCTTTATGGTCTAACATTCTTGCTAATACGTTATCCTCATTCTGTTCTGGATTGTAATCTCTAATAAAAAAGATAGCTCCATGAGCAAAAGCTCCTGTCATGATGAATCCTGCAATATATTGGTGATGGGTATATAACGCAGCTTGAGTCGTAAAATCTTGCGCTATGAACGCATAAGCAGGTAAAGAGTACATGTGTTGAGCTACCAAGGAAGTAATAACTCCTAAGGAGGCTAGAGCAAGGCCTAATTGAAAATGAATCGAATTATTGATTGTGTCATAAAGACCCTTATGCCCACGCCCCAATCGTCCTCCCGGAGGAATATGTGCTTCTAAAAGATCTTTTATACTGTGTCCGATTCCAAAGTTCGTTCTATACATATGACCCGCAATGAGGAAAAGAATTGCGATAGCTAAATGATGATGTGCCATATCGGTTAGCCATAAACTTTGCGTTTGTGGATGGAATCCCCCAAGAAGGGTTAGAATGGCAGTTCCGGATCCTTGGGAGGTACCAAATAAATGACTACTTGAGTCGGGATTTTGAGCATAAAGATTCCACTGACCCGTAAAAAGTGGGCCTAACCCTTGGGGATGCGGTAATACATTTAAGAAATTATTCCATCGAACATATTCCCCCCTGGATGCAGGAATAGCGACATGGACTAAATGACCTGTCCAAGCCAAGGAGCTTACCCCGAATAATCCTGACAAATGATGATTCAGACGAGATTCAGCATTTTTGAACCACGAAACTCTTGGTTTCCATTTTGGTTGTAGGTGTAACCAACCCCCTATTAAGGATAGGGCAGAAAGAAATAATAGAAAAAGAGCTCCAGTATAAAGATCTTCATTAGTACGTAAACCGATTGTATACCACCACTGATAAACACCAGAGTAAGCTATATTCACCGGGCCAAGAGCACCTCCTCGAGTAAACGCTTCCACAGCCGGTTGACCAAAATGAGGATCCCAAATAGTATGAGCAATCGGTCTTACATGTAAAGGGTCTTGTACCCATGTCTCAAAATTGCCTTGCCAAGCTACATGAAACAAATTTCCGGAAGTCCACAGAAAAATTATTGCTAATTGCCCGAAATGAGAAGCAAAAATATTCTGATAAAGACGTTCTTCAGTAGTATCATCATGACTCTCGAAGTCATGTGCGGTAGCAATACCAAACCAAATACGACGAGTAGTGGGGTCCTGAGCTAAGCCTTGGCTAAACCTTGGAAATCTTAATGCCATAATGCCTTTCAAATCCTCCTAGCCATTATCCTACTGCAATAATTCTTGCTAAGAAGAACGCCCATGTTGTGGCAATTCCACCCAGAAGGTAATGGGTTACTCCTACAGCACGTCCTTGTACAATGCTCAAGGCTCTAGGCTGAGTAGCAGGAGCAACTTTTAATTTATTATGAGCCCAAACAATGGATTCAATAAGTTCTTGCCAATAACCACGCCCGCTGAATAGAAACATTAAACTGAAAGCCCATACAAAATGAGCACCTAGGAAAAAAAGACCATATGCAGATAACGAAGAACCATAAGACTGAATTACCTGAGATGCTTGTGCCCATAAGAAATCGCGGAGCCACCCATTAATAGTAATGGAACTCTGTGCAAAGTTTCCTCCAGTAATATGAGTTACCACCCCTTGATCACTTATACTACCCCAAACATCTGACTGCATTTTCCAACTGAAATGGAATATTACTACGGAAATAGCATTGTACATCCAGAATAGTCCTAAGAAGACATGATCCCAAGCAGATACTTGACATGTTCCTCCTCTTCCCGGCCCATCACAAGGGAAACGAAAACCAAGATTTGCTTTATCTGGTATTAAACGGGAGCTACGAGCAAATAGAACACCTTTCAACAGTATCAATACCGTTACATGAATTGTAAATGCATGAATATGATGTACCAAAAAATCTGCCGTTCCTAATGGAATAGGTAACAAAGCTACTTTGCCACCCACTGCTACTAACTCACCGCCCCCCCAAGTCAAACTGGTGCTCGCTGTTTCACCAGGGGCTGTTACACCAGGTGCTAAAGCATGGGTATTTTGTATCCATTGAGCAAAGACTGGTTGTAATTGTATAGCAGTATCTGAAAACATATCTTGTGGACGCCCTAAAGCACTCATGGTATCATTATGAATATACAAACCAAAACTGTGGAAGCCTAGAAATATACATACCCAGTTGAGATGTGATATGATTGCATCGCGATGCCTCAGGACACGATCTAATAAATCGTTATATCGATTAGTTGGATCATAGTCTCTTACCATAAAAATGGCTGCATGCGCAGCAGCACCAACTATGAGAAATCCACCAATCCACATGTGATGTGTGAACAATGACAGTTGTGTAGCATAGTCAGTAGCGAGATATGGATAAGGGGGTATGGAATACATATGGTGAGCTACAATAATGGTTAAAGAGCCTAACATAGCTAGGTTAAGAGATAATTGAGCATGCCATGATGTTGTTAGAATTTCATATAGGCCTTTATGGCCTTGGCCTGTAAATGGACCTTTATGAGCCTCTAAAATATCTTTTATACCATGACCAATACCCCAGTTGGTCCTATACATATGACCCGCTATTAGGAAAAGAATTGCGATAGCTAAATGATGATGTGCTATATCGGTTAACCATAGACCCCCAGTCACTGGATCTAATCCGCCACGAAAAGTAAGAAATTCCGAGTATTTTGACCAATTTAAGGTAAAAAAAGGAGTTGCTCCTTCAGCAAAACTTGGATAAAGTTGAGCCAAAAGATCCCGATTCAAGATAAATTCATGAGGAAGCGGTATTTCTTTAGGA